CTCTCTTGCTTTTAAGAAACAGTACAAAGGGCAGAGAAATCTCTTTGCACCTACTGTTTTTCAAGTGTCTTTAACTTAAATACGCCACAGTGGTATTTTTAACCCCTTCAGTTCCAAGGGCTACGGGTGGCTATTCTGCAGAACATAGCTTGCAGAAAACTGATTTGAGGGATTTTTACTTCATCTTGTTCTCTATTAAACTGCTAGAAACACTTATTTTTGCAATTAACATTGAGTCAAATAAACATAATTCTACATTCAGGCATCCACTAAAGTGTTTCTATGTAGGATACAAAGACAAGAAGGCTGAGAAATTTCTTGAAGGTGAAATTTTATAGATTATGCAGACAGCTCCTGCCTTTATTTTCCTTTCTACCGACTTCTCTTCTTTTCTTTTTGGCTTTTACATTTTATTGCATTGTATATATTTTTGTAAGATGCCACAAGTCCTTTTTGGAATGAAGCAGGGAATAACCAACAAATAAATGATAATTATACCAACATGAAAGCCAAGGATAAAAGCCAAGGCTTTAAAATTTTCTTTAATAAAGCACCCATCAAATCCAATTCTCTCCGGCACTTAAGTACTTTTGTTATTAGAAAACTATATCCAGAGCTCTCTGTGAGACAGAGTAGAGTTCTGGCACAATCTACCAGGTATGACAAAGAGATTGATACTCCAAGATGTGCATTGTGAAGATAAGTCAGTACTTACACGTTCAGGAAGACCAGGATGGTGACATGGGGGGTCATGATGAACAACTCCTATGGAAAAAAGAAAGCAGATTAAGCTCAAATAAAAGTCTAGGATAGAAATATTTACTTCTATTTTATCTGAGGATGTCTTATTTGTGGCTAGAAACAATGCGAATTGTTTTACACAGGACACCAAAGTGAGTATTTCCACTGTTGATAAATCTGTAGACAAATGAGAATTCTGGAGCTGAAACATTACAAATCAGTAATGCCTAATCCATTTGTTTATTGTTCAAAGACCTCTGCACAAAAAATAAACATTAAATCAATCATAAAGTTACCAGTATATAAATATTACTGCAGAACTATCTGCCTCATAATTTTAACCAAAGAGGAGCTCATTATTAATCAAAAATCATTTGGAAAATGATCATTTACAAAATTTTTACCAGATTACTCTTATTGCTTTCTGTTTCCACATTTTCCAGTAGGAAACTCATGACCTGAAGGCACTATTGACACCGCCCTTCAATAACGGGGTACAAGGCGAGAACTGTAGTAAGGGACTTGCTAAAAATAATGCACAGACCCAGCTAAAAATAATGATAATAATTAGTAACTGTCCCCCTGTAATTGCCACTCCGGAGCCACGCAGCTGGTGGTCGTAAACCTTCTTAACTTCTCCCCATAGCTGGTGTCCATAAAGATTCTTAACTTTCTCCGGAGATAACGTCACATTTTCAAAACCTCATGGTAGTTTTTAAGATATCTTCCAGGCCCCGCATTCCACTGGATCAAATGGCCCACCCAGACCAGCGGCCCACACCAAGAAACCGACTCAACTGCAGTTGTGACCCCAGGGACTGGAGTAACACAAGATGATTTCTACATCCCTAGGAGTTTGCCCCCATGAACAAACCTAATTGCCTAATCCCTTGCCTGTCAAACTATCCTTAAAAACCCTGTCTCCCCAGTTCTTGGGGATGTGCATTTGAGAAATTTCTCTGTCTCCCCGCTTAGTGCCATGTGGAATAAAGACTTCCCCTGCCGTAAACGCTGCCGGCTCGGCATACTGGCTGCTTCTTGCGCAGCGAGCAAACGAACCTGGCTGGGCGGCAGCACCGTCCGTGCGTTAACTCTGTTTGCTATTAGCTTAGGTTGACTTCCTTCAAGGCATGAGCTTTTAAAACCTATTAAAATGTACCCAGCTATGGCAAGGCTACTTTGCCCTGGATCTTTTCTTGTAACATTCCCTCCACTGTTCATAGGACTGATGTGTATATGGGTAAAACCACTGCAGGTACTGCGAGGGGAGGACACAGTCCTGGGACGCTCTTCTGATCAGACGTCATGTCTAACAAGGCAAAGATATGACAGAGCGTTGAATAAACAAACTGGACGCTGAGTCAAAAGACCTGGGTTCCAGAGCTGCTTTTCCTTTTTCCCTTAACTGTAAAGACCCCCGGCCTCAGCTGATCCTCCCACCTCAGCCTCCCAAAGTGCTGGGACCATGGGCGTGAGCCACCGCACCTGGCCCAGAGTTCTGTTTTTAATAGTTACATTAGTTCCAAATAGCTTATGACTACAGCTTACGTAAATCATTTCCCTGTTTTCTAAAATATTCACAAAGAGAGAAAAAGATGAGAAGTCACTCTACTATAAACCATGACTGACCGACAGCCTAATGCTAGCATTTGGGAGTAACAAAGACTCTCTTTTAACCAAATTCTAGTCAGGCTTCTCTAAGCCTTCTTCTCAACTAGGTCTTGACCTCGGTCCTGTCCTTGCCAGACCTGCATGGCCCAATTTTAGCAAGAATCCTGCCAAGTCAGTTTAGAGAGAATCCTTTTTCCCCGTCCCACACCTCGATATCCGACCACCCTGGCCTGCCCGCGGCAAGAACGCCCCAGCCTTGATTTCTCCTCTTAGTCGTTTCCACCCACTCTCCCACCCCACCCCCAGCCTGCTCCTCAGCTATGAATCCACCTGTCCTTGGATCTGGAGTTGAGCTCGATCTCTCTGCTCTGTTGCAGCTGTCTTGACACTCACAACTGTCCTGAGTAGAGTCTTCCTGTTTAAAGAGCGTCACAATGTCGTCTTTCTTTAACAAGAAGACCTGACACAAAGGAAGATGTGGATGAAATGGACGGTAAAGACCTATAGAGCTTCCCCCTCAGGCAATGTCCCCGTTACACTGTGTGAAAGATGGTCTGACAGTTTGGGTAGGAAGGAACTCTCTTATCCCCTTTACACTTGCATCTTCACTCAGGCACCCAGGGCCTCTACCTGTCAGAAACACGGGCAGCGTTTTCTCTTCTTCCCCAAGTCCCATTCTGTGAGATAAGCACACACACTGTCGTCACGGTTCCCAGTGGCATCTCCAACTCATGCCGTTTTCCAAACCCAGGAAGCCCCTGGTCACAACAGACAACAACTACGCAGGCAAGAGAATGGGAGGTGGCAAGGGTGTGACGGATTCTGCGAAGTGTTGGCCCCATCAGTACGGCCCCCCAAGGACAGCACCAGGGAAATGGATTGAGGGCGGAGTCCTAGGGAGATCTGAGTATCAGGAAAGCAAATGCTGCTGGGAGTTGTAGTTTTTCACGTGCATGGGCTCAGAGCACTAGGAAACCAGGCCATCGACATTAGAGAAAAAACATCAGCTCAGATGAGGGTCATTAGATCCACAGCTTGCTGGCAACAGGGCACTGGCCCTGCACCTTAGCTGTAGATCTGAAAAGGGGTCCTGACCATTAAATAAGCTGATAGCCTGCTGCATTAGAGTGATCCAATTTCTTGGTCCATTGACAAATGTTGCATTTGGACAGATCTTGCCTTAAAAGGAAAAAACAAAACAAAACAAAACCAAAGGGAGCAGGGGAATCAAATCCAGAGGACTCAAAGGAAAGCACACCTCTGAAACCATCCACAGCAAAACCCAGAAAAAAAAAAATTTTCAGAAAGCTATTTAATACATCCTTAATATGAGCAGAATTTTTTTTTTCTTGAGACAGTCTTGCTCTGTTGCCATGGCTAGAGTGCCAAGGCATCAGCCTAGCTCACAGCAACCTCAAACTCCTGGGCTCAAGTGATCCTCCTGCTGCAGTCTCCTGAGCAGCTGGGACTACAGGCATGCACCACCATGCCTGGCTAATTTTTATTAGTTGCCTGGCTGATTTTTTCAATTTTTAGTAGAGACGGGGGTCTCACTCTTGCTCAGACTGGTCTCGAACTCTTGAGCTCAAGTGATTCTCCTGCCTTCGCCTCTCAGAGTGCTAAGATTACAGCCATGAGCCACCGCACCCAGCCGGACAGAAAATCTTAAGGATAACCAACTGAAGTGAAAATGCGCCAGAGCGAGATAGGTTGAGAGAAATAAACTCAATGAGAGGATTTCAAGAAAACTAAAAATGCTACATGAAAATTAAAATCCACATTGGAGTTAATACAGAACTGATGTGGAAAAATCAAGTTGCTGACATGGAAGATGAACATGAAGAGTTCTCGTCACCCTGCAACAGAAAGGGTGATAAGTACGAAACCATCCTTTTCATTTAAGGGAATGACAGGAAAGATATGGAGGACAGAAACCAGCCAGGCAGCACACAAACACCTGCTACTGCTTAAGGACAAAACCAGAACAAATGAAACAGAAATGATAAATGGGTAGGATATAACTTTCTTCAGCCAAAAAAGACTGGTATATGTAACATTACATTCTAGCCCAAATTAGTGAATGGTAACCTGGATACATACTAAGAAAATGTCTGGATTACAAAAAATTCTACAAGTAATCTGATAGGGGGAAAAAGATTGCCTGTAAAAAGAAAAACTAGCCTTAGTTTTTTTCACTATAGTATTAATACCAAAGGACAAGGGAAAAATGTCTATGAAGTTTTGAAGGGAAGACTATGACCATATAATTATACATCATTTTCACTGCAGAGACTGCCAATTATTCTCCCGTATGTCCTCTTCCATTAACATATGAACATGATATCCCAGCTAAGGACTCTACTAAGAACTACATTTCCCAGACTTCCTTGCAGCTGCATATGGCCACGTGATCGGGTCCTGGCCAATGGATACCAGCAGAAGTTATAGGTATAATTTCCAGGCTGTGCCCTTAAAAAAAAAGGATCAGGTCCTCTATTTTCTCCTCTCTTCTCACTTGCTGGAATGTGAACTTCGAGAGGGAGGCTAAAGCAGCTTTTTTAGAACACAAGATAGAACTTACACGTGGATGAGAGCAGAACAAGGAAGAGCGACCTTGAGTCCCTTAAACTGTGGAGCCACCTGTCAGCCCTGGACGGCCCAGCCCGTTTGGACTGTATGTTAAAGAGACATGCGCTACTCTCCTGTTTAAGCTACTCTTTTGGCCTTTTTTACAGCAGCTGATCCTGTATTTTAACGAGTACACTCTGCTAAAATATGGTTCCCTGGGAAGGGACAAGAGAGACCTCTTTTGACTATTCAGGAGTTCCCAAAAATATTTCCACCAATACATCTTTCTTGAAAAGACAGTTGGAACAGAGATGAGGCAAAATTAAGAACTCAAGAAAAGGAAAGTTATGGTATAAAATGATGAGTGATAAATACAAAACCTTAAAA